AAGAACCCATCTCTGCGTCTCTTCATCCCCCTCAGCCTTTTTGGCAAAATTCCAGGGCTGTCCGCTCGCAAAGCCTCCAGCGATGCACGCTTGAAAAGCTTGCCTACTCCGCACTGAAACGTACCTTCCTGTTGGCAGTAGTTACAGTGCCCTCCTCACTTCACTGATACTTTTACTTTAGTCAGCCGAAAACATTGCTTTGTTGAAGTCGGTCTGCAGCAACGTGGTAACTTATACATCGAGGTCTTTTGGGTTTTTCTAGTGCAACACGGCCAAAGGCTCCCAGCATAGGAAAAAATACAAAGATGGCTTTTTGAATGTGATTATTGTCTTTAGAACTAAGAGGCCGGATACGTTGAGCCAGCATAAGTCTAAAGAATGGGCGACCAGTTGCTATACTTGACGATTCAGCCGATTATCCTCTCTTTGAACGTTTTACTACCTTTACTGGAAAATTGTAAAAATCAGCTTTCTACATTACGTGCACAGTGTTAAATATGCTGCTTTCCACAGCTCATGGATTGACAAAGCTCTACCTCGTTGCCGTACCATTAACCTGTCTATCAATCTGTCAATCTACGGCGAATAACGCATCTTGTTGAAGGATTTGCATTGCCCCAAATCCACAATCGCGTCGCGGACTGAACGTAAATGGAGCATCTTACCTTCAACGAGGTCACGCAACGAAATGAGCATAACCTTCGTCTCTATGTAACGATGAAGTGTTTACTTCTAGTTATGTTCTTAAATCCAACATACCTTTGCGGTGATTGTGAGATCGACATCTCTGGAGAGATCGCTGAACCTGAAGCTGATATTTGCTGCAGTCCTGTTTTACTGGTTTGTTTTACCATTGCTCATAATGGAATGTCGTCCTCAACCTACGCGTACTCCACGTGGTATCAGTTCACCACGATGGCAGGAGCTAAGTCACATAGAAAACGGAACTTTGCGCTGATCGAGCCAGCAGAACTGAGGTTTTCTAACGAAGCAGCTGCTCAATGCTTCTGGCAATAATCACGTACCACGTGTCGTTTCACTAATGTTGTCAGGACAGGTGCCCTCGGAGAACGTTAGAAATTCTTATGTTATAGTTAAAAAACGACCAGACAAAACTGCAATAATTTACTTTTCAAGGGCAAAGTATGTGACTGTTTTATATGCCAGGGCTCTCGCAACGACTTGAGCGCGTAGCAAGTGTCTATTAAAGTGTCAATGTCAACTGTCGTTGGAAATAACCTATTGTATAGATCATTCTAAAAATGACAACGAGCTTGACTGCGGTCTTTGCGCACATAGGGGCACGAAACACCCATACAAACAGGCGTCACCGCAAAGCTCAGCTCAGTCACTTCCAGTCCGATACATAGAGCCACTGTGGCGACATTGTCGGCACCTTCCTCACAACTTATCATTACTCTCCATAGGCTGGCGTCATACTTGAGCGGCACAGTTCCAGCT